CGCTCTGTAGACCAGGCTGGCCTCGAACTCACAGAGATCCGCCTGGCTCTGCCTCCCGAGTGCTGGGATTAAAGGCGTGCGCCACCACCGCCCGGCTGGATCATACATTTAAAAATGGCTGCCGGATGTGGTGGTGCACACTTAGAACCCCAGTGCTCAGGAGGATCGGGAGTTCAAGGACAGACTGGATCTATAGCAAAACCCTGTCTCAAAACAACCCAGAAATAAATTATAAAAATAACTAGGGCTGGAGAGAGATGGCTCAGTGGGAACAGGCACCTGCTGGCAAGATTGACTGCCTCAGTTCAACACCCAGAACCCACATAGAGGGAGAGAACCGTCTCCCACTAGTGTCTATGAACCCCACACATGTGCTGTGGCATGTGTGGGGACACACACACACACACACACACACACACACAAATAAATAAATGTAAAAAGTAAATAAAATGGTTAACATGGTGGCTCACACCTTTAATCCCAGCACTCGGGAGGCAGAGCCAGGCGAATCTCTGTGAGTTCGAGGTCAGCCTGGTCTACACAGTGAGATCCAGGGTATTAGAAGAGAACACACTCTGTAAGCTCTCCTCTAACCTTCACTTGAAGGCCATGGTGTGTACACAGACACAGACACACACACAGACACATAGACACACAGACACACAGACACACCCAGTAAAAATGTAATTTTAAAAAGAAAGGAAGAAATTGAGTCTTTGCAGGTGCAGTTGGCTAAAGTGATGTCATACTGGATTAGGAAGGCTCTAAGGCCCATGTCCTGTAGAAGAGGACACACAGAGACGCGGGCAAATGCCACGAGAAGATGGAGGCAGAGACCAGATGCCAAAGGACACCCAGGACTGCCAGCAGCCAGCAGAAGAGAAGGGAGCCTGGGACAGTGTCACCCTCAGGGCCCCAAAGGAATAGACCTGCTGGCACCTTAGTTTAATACCTCTAGATCTGTAAGAGAGTAAACTACTATTTAAACACACACACACACACACACACACACACACACACACACACACACACACAAAGTAGTTAGTTAAAGATAAAACTATGCACACACATACACAGAGAGACAGATAATAGTGGACTTGAAAAAAAGGACTAGTTATAGGTAAAGGCTGCAGAGGACCCTCTTAAAAGAAAAAAGAACTTCAATGAAAATCTGATGTAGAAGTAAGGTCCCTGACTGTGACAGATTAAGCATCCAGTGTGTGCTCTACCCTTTCATGAGCTGGGTTGCTGTGACCCTCCCTCGGTCCAGTCTACTCTGGGCCACCAACAAACCAAGTTTCTTGGCAACAATATTATTTAGCCCTTTCTCGGTCACAGTGGCGCATAATCCTCTGCAGGAATTAGAATGAGGGAGATTCGACCACACGGAGCCTACCCTGTGAAGGAGTCCCACATAATTATGAGGCAGTCTGGTCCTTTGTCTGCTGTGGCAATCCATCGCCTGTCTTCGCTGACACAGAGGCAGGAGATGATGTTAGGGTGGCCCTGTGGAAATGCAGAAGACATGCTTAGAACCAGTAAGGATGGGGCCTGGTGTGGACCTCAGGGAGGGCTGAATCCACATAGCCCTGAGCTCTTGCCAAAGCTTGCCTGCCTGGAAAGCGGCTTCCACGGGCCCTCCCAGAGGTTTCTCTATCTCTTGTTGGGGTTAGGGGTGGGTTCCCGAGCTTTCTCTTCCTCCACAAGACTAAAGGAGCTATGCTCACCAAAGGAACAGGTCCTCCCTAGGGATGGAGGTAAGTGGCCAACCCAATCGGGACCTCTGAACTCCCTGCCGACCTCGTCCCCCACAAACACTGCTCACCTGGGATCACCGAACAGCTCTGCAGGTCACTGGTGCTTGATCCACTCTTAACACCCTAGTCATTTCCCCACACAACAAAGGAATCTTCCAGAAACGTACTCAAAGATAACAGCATTCTTTTCTCCCCGACCCAAGACAGGTTGTAGGCGGAGTTTTCCTGTCTCAACTTCCTGTTCCCAAATAACTGGCAGCTGCTTCCGGAATAACTGACTCAGAGACTTAATATAAATTATAAATGCTCTGCGAATAGCTCAGGCTTGTTACTACCAACTCTTACATATAAATTAACCCACATTTCTTATCTATACTTTGCCATGTGGCTCATGTCTTGCTATCTTATTTTCTACTTATCCTGCTTCCTCAGGATATCCCTCTAGCTCCGCTCTCCTTCTCCCATCATTTCGCTAGGTTGGTTGTCCCACCTATAATTCCTGCCTGGCTACTGGCCAATCAGCTTTTTATTAAACCAATCAGAGTGACAAATATTCAGTGTACAAAAGGATTATTATTCCACAGCAACAGGGTTTCTTTGTGTAGCCCTGGCTGTCCTGGAACTTGATCTGTAGACCAGGCTGGCCTCGAACTCACAGAGATCCGCCTGCCTCTGCCTCCCGAGTGCTGGGATCAAAGGCGTGCGCCACCGCCACCTGGCTTGATGACAACACTCTTGCAGGACATGGTCCCCATTTTTCCTCCTCTCCCTCCTGATTTCCCCCTGCCATCTAACCTGTACCATCACACTGACCGACCTCTTCTCTGGCACACACACACAAGGCCTTAGCCCTTGAACCTGCTTCTGTCTGGAAGGTTCTTCCCCAGACTGTCCTGTTGGCTCATTTTTCTCATTTTTCAGGTCTCAGCAGAAACAGGATTTTCTCAGGTCCTGCTAGCCAACCTGAGGTCTCTCTCGCATCATGACTTCCTTAGCACGCCTTCCCATCTTCTCTGAATGCTTACTCTGTGCTTATCTGTTTATGTTCTCTGCTACAACACCTGTTGATATCACAGACTGGGAAATCCATGAGGATGGGGCCAGGTCAGTTTTGTTCATGGCCACAGGCGAATAATCTGAAACCCAGCAGCAGTTAGGATGTTAGGTTGTAAACAAATGGCCAAGGTCAGTCCTGGTGGTGCATGGGCATGGCTAGGCTCTTGTGGGTTATACTACACCCTTCTGGGCTGCCTGCCCATCCCAGCCACCTTCCCTACGTGGTTCCTGTACTTGGTGATACATGCTTAATCCAGCTTCAATGGGACTTGCTCGATGTTTTTATCAGAAAGGAAATTCCTCACACGGAGCACTTCCTAGGTGTTTGGGAAATATTCTGAGATCCTTTTGGTCTTAGTATGGACTACGCAAGGTCCTCTAGCATCACACATTCATGAAAAGGCAACACATTAACTAATAACCAAGTCAACAATAGAGCAGTGGACACTCAGAAAGGACGTTTAGGTAAATTTTGACATTGAAAGGGGTCAAGCTATCAGGGATGGAGGAAGCGAGCAGTGTGAGGAAGGCAGGCGTGGAGGATGCCCAGCCCAGGGCCGGGGCGAATAAGAGACACTGTGGAAACAGGGAAGGATAGGAGGACCCCTGGGTCCTGAGTACTTCCGTGTCCTGAGACCTAGAGCCACTGCATACTAACGCGGTCTGGGCCAGTCACTGTGACACTGTGAGCCTGTTTCTCCTTCTGTCACACAGACCTCGTGACATCTCCCTTCCAGCATGGAGAACCGGAGTCTAGGTGGATGTGGGTCTGTATCCCCAGTTTTCCAATTCTTGAAATGTTAAAATTAGTATCAATGACTGTTAGCCACTAGGTACTGATTAGACTCATGGACAGTGGGCAGCAGCACGTACTTCTTTAATTTTCTTTTAACTTATTGCATTTATTTGTGTATCCCCATATGCATGTGCGTGTGTGCGTGCATGCGTGCGTGCGTAGGGCTGTGGGTGTGCATGCACACACACCTGCCACAGTGCACATGTGGAGGTCAGAGGACAGCCTATGAGAGTTGTTTCTCTCCTTCCACCGCGTGGGGCTTGGGGACCAAACTCAGGTCACCAGGCTTGGTGCTGGCAGGCGGGGCCACCTCACCTGTCCTAATGTGTGTCTCAAAAGCAGCAGTTCTCAACCTGTGGGTGGCGACCCTTTGGCAAACCTCTGTCTCCAAAAACATTTACACTACAATTCATAACAGGAACAAAATTACAGTTATAAAGTAGCAACAAAAAATAATGTTATGGTTGAGCCACCCAAACATGAGGAACTGTATTAAAGGGTCACAGTGTTAGGAAGGTTGAGAACCACTGCTCTAAAGAGAGGAATTTGCTAGAAAAAGGAGAGGCCGGAAGGTATGACACTGAGGGAGGCACTGAAGTCAGCCTGGGACCCAAGGCAAAGTTCTGTATGTCGGTTACAGGTGTCATCTTCCAGCCCGGCCTGGTGGCACATGCCTGTCATCCCTACCGCTTGAGAGGCTGAAGCAGGATGTTTGAGAGCCCAGAGCCGGTCTGGGCTCCATGTCTGAGACCCTGTCTCAAAAAAAACCCAAAAGACATCTTTTTGTTCAGAGGGAGACAAAGCCAGCCCGCATACCTACCTGGAGGTGGCACTGTGTGTTCCTGAAGACGTTGTAAATGATGGCCGTGTGTGCACAGACGTAGAGGATGACTCTCTGGTTATCTCGGATGTAGTAGACGGGGAGGAAACTGTTCCATCCAAAGGACCAGGTCATGGTCTGGAGGACAAAAACGAACACAGGGAGCCTCAAGCATGCTGAGCCCAGAGCCGTGGCTCCTGCGTGCTGTGCCCCGCCCGCCTCCGGAGGAGAATGACTCTGACAATCCAAGGGAAAAAAGAAACCTTTTTATTTGCTTGAAACAGGGTCACACGTAACCCAGGCGGACCTTAAACTCACTACATAGGGAAAGGGGCCTTTTACTCCCCACCCTCACGACTGTCCTACTTTTTCTAAAAAAAAAAAAAAAAAAAAAAAAAAAAAAAAAAAAATGAAAGAAGGAGGGAGGGAGATGGATGAGAGAGAGGGTCTTTAACATCATATAAAATACTTTTTCTGGGCTAGAGAGATGGCTCAGCAGTTAAGAGCACTGGCTGTTCTTCCAGAGGACCTGGGTTCAATTCCCAGCACCCACATGGCATCTCATACCTGTCTGTAACTCCAGCTGTAGGGGATCTGACACCCATACACAGACACACATGCAGATGAGACACCAATGCCCATAAAATAAAAATAAATCTTTTTTTGTTTTGTTTTGTGTTTTTTTTTTTCCTTCGAGACAGGGTTTCTCTGTATAGCTTTGCGCCTTTCCTGGAACTCGCTTTAGAGACCAGGCTGGCCTCAAACTCACAGAGATCCACCTGCCTCTGCCTCCCAAGTGCTGGGATTAAAGGCATGCGCCACTACCGCCCAAAAATAAATCTTAAAAATATAAAATAAATTAAAAACAAACAAATGAACAACAGAAACCCCCACCACTTTTTCTGTTCTTTACCCCCCAGACCTGAAGCCCCACTGTTACTAAGTACTTAAGTAAGTACTTAATGTGATGAATTCCATTACTTCCTGGAAACACAGGATGGAGAAGGTGTAATAAACCCATTTAGCAGTTTTATAAGAAAGGGAAGCCTCAGGGCGGTGGTGGCGCACCCCTTTAATCCCAGCACTTGGGAGGCAGAGGCCGGCGATGTCTGTGAGTTCAAGGCCAGCCTCGTCTACAAAGTGAGTTCCAGGATAGCCAGAGCTGTAACACAGAGAAACCCTTTTTTTTTTTTTTTTAATTGGTTTTTCGAGACAGGGTTCTCTGTGTAGCTTTGCGCCTTTCCTGGAACTCACTCTGTAGCCCAGGCTGGCCTCGAACTCACAGAGATCTGCTGGCCTCTGCCTCCCAAGCGCTGGAAGCATTCAGCCTGATTAACTGGTTCTTCTGTCTTGTTTTCTGTTGCTGCTGCTGCTGCTGCTGCTTCCCACAGCTCAGCGGTAGAATCCTTGCTTAGCACGGGCAAGGCCCTGAGTTCAATACCAGCACCAATGCAGACACTGGATAAGTAAATCTACCTTTCTGGGAGCAATGCCAAAAGGAGAATTTTATGAAATGAGAAACCCAGGCATGCTGGAAAGGGCCAAACAACACTGAAAATGATCAGGGGCTGCCAGGGTTCTGGAGGAGTAGAAGACAGGAGGTGTGCAGGGAGTGAGATTGAAATGGTGGACATGCGGAGTTACACACCCACCCGTCAAAGCCCGCGCATCTGGCTGCTAATGCCATCTGATAATAGTAACGTCAACACTGGCGTATCGCTGCTGGCAAATGTGCCTCGCTGACGTGAGGGGGAATCTGGAGGAGGTGGCCCTGAAGAGGCCTAACTTCACATTAGTGCAGCCATGGCAGGCCGCAGGCTAACAATGCTGGGACTAGGCCTCACCTTTACAATAACCAGGAAAAGCCAGGAACTGTACCCTGCGGGGGACCAATCAGAACTGAGACAGACAAGTACTAGATACTCCAGAACATTGAGGACAGCTTACATCACTTGTATATAAGTTGCCAATCCCTGTTTGACAAGACTTCCTGTGCCTCGCTCCTGCCCAACCAGGAGTTCAACCCCCATCTGAATCCAGAATTCCCCTACCTCCACCCCTGCCCCATCCTTTAGTCCTTAAAAACCCTGCCTCAACTGAGCTCAAAGCACTCCCCAATCCAACCGCTGTTGAACAGGATAGAGAGTCCAAGCTCGAGCTTGCAATAAAGGCTCTTTGCTTTTGCATATGGACCCGGACTCCTGGTGGTTGGTCTCTTGGGGGCTCATGACGTGGCCATAACAGGCACCATGGAAACTCTATGTACTTACTGTCCACTCAAATTTCCCCTGAGCCTGAAGCTGCGCTCTCCCCCGCCCTCCCCCCCGCCCCCCCACAAAACCTAATCAATTAAAAGCGGCATCGAAAGTGGATAGTTGAATGGCAAACTGCTGAAGATCAATGAATTACCCTGGCCTATAGCAGCAGCTGCCTTTCTCCTCTTGGAACAAAACTTAGGAAGTTGAACCGTGGGATTGGGTATTTCTTCCCAAGACAGACCCGGCCTGGAACGCACGGTGACTTTTCTCTCGCACAGCGTTCGTGCCCCACACTTCCTGTTCCCATCTGCCTGCTCCCTGGAACTTGTGTTTCTGTTTACATCTCGGATTGTGTGGGCGTGAGTGGTAGAATTGTGGAATTATAACCGTCTCAAGCTGCACCTTCTAGGAACAGAATTACTTAATATTTGCCTTGGTTCTAAAAAAGCTGATGTATGCAAATCAGACTGTTCCTTTGGAGACTTGCTTATCCTAACAGGATCATCATGTTCACCCTGAAGTTTCATCTTGTCATTTTAAAATTAGTCATGAGAAAGGAAAGGGCTTCGGCTGGGCGTGGTGGTGCATGCCTGTAACGCCAGCATTTCAGAGGTGGATCAGCCTGGGCTACACAGTGCATTTCAAACTAGCCTGGGATATACAAGTAAACAAAACAAGGGGCCATAAAGAGGGCTCATTGGGGCTGGTGGTGGTGGTGCACACCTTTAGTCCCAGCACTCAGGGAGGCAGAGGCGGCAGGTGGATCTCTGCGAGTTCGAGGCCAGCCTGGTCTACAGAGTGAGTTCCAGGACAGGCACCAAAGCAACGCAGAGAAACCCTGTCTCGAAAAACCACAAAAACAAAACAACAGAAAAAAAAAAAAAGGTCCCCATAGGTTCATGTATTTTTGAACTCAGTCGCCAGTTGACAGACTGTTTAGGAAGCATTATTAGGCATGGCCTCACTGGAGGAGGTGTGTCACTGAGGGTGGGCTTTGAGGTTTTAAAAGCTCACTCCAGGTCCAGCCTCTCTCTTTCTGCCTGCTACCTGCAGATGGATCAGGATGTAAGCTCTTAGCTCCAGCACCAGGCCGGTCCTCAAGCCTACTTGCCTGTCTACCATACTCTCTGCCACGATGGTCACAGACTAACTCTCCAAAACTGTAAAATGAGTTTTACATCTTACAGTTTCTGAGTGCCCCCAGTAAAATGCTTAATTTTATAACAGTTGCCGTGGTCACGGTGTCTCCTCACAGCAATAGAACACTGATTAAGAAACCTCAGCAAAGGGGTGTGGAGGCAGGAGGATCCCAGGGGCTTGCTGGCCAGCTAGCCTAAAAGAGATGATGAGCCGGGCGGCGGCGGCG